TATATATAAATTTATGGTCATATGTGTAGATATATATTTCTGAATCTTTGGTTAATTGATATGGTGTGAACTTGACCCTGAACTTAGTTGAATATATAGTATATACATGAATATAGTGGATATTTATATGGTTATGTAAATCTTAGGCGACTGGGTGCTTACCAAATCTGCGTTTCTTATTGGATTTTCTGAGTGAGTTCGTTAGAGTGGGATCGGAATCTGTTATGCACACACACACACACACATACATATTTGGTATACGTATATGCGTATATATATGTTGATTTTGCGTAGTTAATTAATTGATTAATAATTTTGCGGTAGCGGGCGTTTTTTAGGGCGTAGGGAGGGGCAAGCAAACAATTTGGTATATTCAAAATGCATTCAAAATTGCGATGGTCGGTGTACCGTTACGGTTAGAGTACAAGAGAGCAACGAGGGGAAGATATATGAGAGAGAGAGAGAGAGAAAGAGAGAGAAAGAGAATTAACGCATTCCATTGCGGGCACTCTGCACTCTGCGACTTGTGGCGCCACCTACCGACTGTGGTGTAGCGAACAAACGTCTCCTTGTTCTCCAACATGGCGTCCACGGCGAGCTTCTCACAGTATTGGGCCGTTATGATGGCAATCGTTGGCTGCTTGTTGGAGGCTATCGTCGGCATCTGTTTGACCACCTTGATCTCCTTGTCCTCGTGATGGATGCGCGTGTACGCATTGTACTCCATGGACTTGATGAGGCCGCGCTCCTGCAGCGATTGTATGACCAGCAGCACATCCTGCTCACTCCAGCCATAGTCCCTGAAATGGAGAGACTTGATTAAACAGAGAGAGCGAGGGAGAGTGAGAGTGCGCTGCTTACTTGGCCAAATCTTCGGGCGATACGGGATTCGGATAGGCCTGCTCAATCAGCTCCAGCACCTTCTCCTGCGTCAACGGTGGAGATTCAAATTGTGATTCCTCCAGGGAAACTGTCAAGTGAAACGGAGAGAGAGAGAGAAAATGGAGATTGGAGAGTTTTAAAAAGCTTTATTCACACAATAGGCTCTTTTGTGTGGCATTAATGGTTACAATTTCGTTAGGGGCGGACAGGCAGGCAGCCGCTACAGCTTGCAGTGGGCGTGGTTAGGCGTGGGTTAGCACACGACGTTGGAGCGTTAACTTAATTGCAGCCAGCAGACAAATTGGGCACTTGAGTGCCTGAGCACTGAGAGCGAACAGCACGTTCAGGGGGACGGGGGGATGGGGGGCGTGGCGCAGCCACTATTGAAGGCAATGCACCCGAAAAACGGTTGGCAGCAGTTCGAGCGCCATTGGCAAGTGACAATTAGCGCCAAGGGCAATGTACGCAACAACAGTTTAAAAAGCATTGCACATAAAGTGTAAGCAATGCACTCGTATGCAGCTCAACAAAAGTTTGAGCGTCACTGGCAGCTAGCAAAGCCAGAGCCAACCTACACATATGCATACATACGCACAAAAGTTKGAGGAGCACTGCTTGACACACCAAGCTTCGGCAGCTTAATAGTTTTAGTGTCACTGACAAGCAGCAGCGCCAAGAGCAATGTGCAAACGCACGAAAGTTTGAGAAATATTGCAAAGGAAGTGTAATCAATAGTTGCAAGCACAGTTTGAACAACATGCAGCTCAACAAAAGTTTAAGTACTACTGACAAACGACAGAGTGCAGGCAAAACAGTTTGAGGAACATTGCTGTGCAATTTACAGCAAACATTAATAGTTTTAGTGTCACTGGCAAGAGACGAAATTTACGCACAATAATTAGAGAAATATAGCAAACGAGACGTAATGCTAGCAAATACAGTTTGAGCAGCACTATTGTGCAGCCTAATGGTAAACAGCAGTTTGAGGAACATTGACTAGCGACAGTTGGCGCCAAACGCAAAGTGTACGCAGTTTGAGAACGACTGTATGGGATGTTTAAGCGTTGCTTGAGCAGCACAGTTTAAGCAGCATTCTTATGCAGCTCACACCGTAAACAACAGTTTGAGAGTGAGTGACAGCACCAAGGGTAACGTGCAGACACACAACAGTTTGAGGACGACTGTAAGGGGAGCTTTAGCGTGCTTGATCAGCATTCTTGTGCAGCTCACAGCAACGGTAATAGTTTGGTGGCCACTGTAGGGGCAATGTAAGCTCTGCTTGCAAACACAGTTTGAGAGTCAGTTTCGTACAGCTTAACAGGAACTAGACGCATTTATTTATAAATTTTTATTTAGTGTGTGTTTTGTTTTGTTTTTGTACTAAAACTCAGTGCGTTTCATTTTTTTTTTTCGATTTTCGTTTTTACTTTGTCATTGAATAGATTGATGTGTGCGTGCATTAGTAAAACGAACGAACGGGAATAACAGAACAACAACAGCATGAACAATAACAAGAAACAGAACAACAAAACAAAGAACAACAAGAGACTAGAAATTATGATGTACAATGGACATTTGTTTTGTTGTTGTTGTTGTTTTTTTCTTTTTTGGTTTAGTAATTGGTTTTGGTGGCTGGCGAGGATTAGTTGGCATTGAAAGCGGCGGAGCAGAGGCTGCGGCAGCGGCAGCGACAGCGCCTCATTTGCGACGCGCACTCAGCTGCTCGGTGTACATGTCCAGCCAAATGGCCTTCATCAGATTGTCGCCATCACCTGTTTTCTTCTGGGCGAGCAACGCCTCCTCGAACTTGCGATTGCAGTCTCCATAGCAATAGATGATGTAGCCATCGCGCGCTGTGGCCCACACATATAAACCAGAATAGACATGCATACATAAATGTATGTATGTCAYATACAGACACCCGATGTCAGAGATAACAGAAAGAGAGAGAGAGAGATAGATAGTGAGCGAGAAAGATTCAAAAGAACCCATAAAAGAGAGAACCAAAAAATAGTAAATGAAACTAAAAGGAGAAAAAGAGAGGGAGAAGGCAGAGAGAGAGAGAGAGAGAGAGAGAGAGAGAGAGAGAGATAGAGCCGACAGATTTAGCTAGAACTTACGAGGACGTGACGGCGGCGCCGACGTCTCCTCCAAAATGCGCAGCTCGATCTCAATGGACTGGATCTCGGTGTAGCCATGCTGCAACAGCTTCATGATCTTCTTGATAAAGCCAACATAATCTGAAGGAAATATAGAAATGTACATATTAGCTATATCAAATTATCAATAGATATATAAATATCTATATCATATATCTTATA